TGTGAAGAGGAACCAATGTTAGACAGAGAGTAGTGAAGGGCATATTTTGAGGTGACACAGTATGGAGGAATCGGAAGGGAGGAGTTAAGAAAAATAAAAGCAGTTTGTGTGCAGAGAACTCACATGTTAGGAGTATTATTACAAAATACAACATAGTGTCAGAAGTTCTGTAACACGGTAACTGAACAACGAGGTCTACCCAAAAGAGGAAAATGAGCTGCAGTGGGGATGAGCAGAATGAGGAAGGAGTTAGCAGAATGGCTAGTACACCCAGAGCTACTTTTAACATCCAACCACCAGAGCCCTTTGATTTTTCCAAACCAAATGAGTGGACAAAATGGATATGGCAATTTGAGAGATTTAGGCAAGCAAGCAATCTCGCAATAAGCTCCGAAGAAAATCAGGTGAACACTTTGATTTACTGTATGGGAGACGAAGCAGATGATGTTCTGCATGGCCTGAAACTCAGTGAAGCTGATCAGCATCAGTATACTAAAGTAAGAGACGGCTTTCAGTCATTCTTTGTAGTAAAAAAGAACCTTGTGTATGAGCGTGCAAGATTTAATATGCGCAAACAAGAAGCAAATGAGACAGTTGATGCATTTGTTACAGCGCTGTATGCATTAGCAGAACACTGTAACTATGGAGCACTACATGACGAGCTCATCAGAGACAGGATTGTAGTAGGCTTGGTTGATACACGTCTATCAGAACGCATGCAAATGGAAAAAGACCCAGGTGCTGGTGCTGAAAAAAGCAGAGAGACCTCTACTGGGTCCAGGGAAGTGATGGGGTTTGCCAAACTACAGCTAAAGAAAGGAGCAAAACAAATTACAGAGAAGGTATACGTGGTCAAAAACCTGAGTATGCCTTTGCTGGGACTGCCAGCTATTGTCACTCTTGGTCTGTTGGTTCGTGTGGGCACTATTGACATGGAAAATCTGAAGTCAAGCTACCCTAAGTTATGCAGCGGCCTAGGGCAGGTTCGACAACCTTGTTGTATTAAGCTCGAACCCGATGCTGTGCCTTTCCCTTTGAAAACCCCAAGGAGGATTCCCCTACCATTGATGGGGAAAGTCAAAGATGAACTTCAACGCATGGACAACTTGGGAGTAATCACTCATGTGGAAGAGCCTACGGACTGGTGCGCAGGCATGGTAGTGGTGCCCATGAAGGACAGCAAAAAGGTACATTTGTGTGTGGATCTGACTGACTTGAACAAGTATGTGTGTCATGAAAAATTCATTTTACCATCAGTAGAACAGAGTCTTGGAACACTAGCTGGTGCTAAAATGTTCAGTAAATTTGATGCCAACATGGGGTTCTGGCAGATACCCCTTATTGAGGATTCAGCAAAGTATGCCACATTCATTATACCCTTTGGGCGGTTCCACTTTAACCATCTTCCATTTGGCACTGCCTCAGCACCCAAACATTTCCAATGTATGATGGCAGAAGTTACACAGGGGCTGGAAGGTATAGTTTGCCATATTGATGATCTACTGGTGTGGGGACGGGACCAAGAAGAACATGACAATCGACTCCATGCAGTGCTAAAAAAAACTGGAAAAAGCGGGAATCACTCTGAACATGGATAAGTGTGAACTCTCCAGGAGTGAGGTGGTCTTTTGGGGTCACATCATCTCTGATGCAGGGATACGACCTGACCCAAGGAAAACAGAGGCTATCAGAGCTATTAAGGAGCCCTCTAGTGTGAATGAACTGAGGAGTTTTCTTGGCATGGTAAACCAGCTGGGGAAGTTCATCCCTCAGTTGGCAGAAAAAGACAAGCCACTTCGTGATCTCCTTTCTAAGAAAAACTGTTGGGTTTGGGATATGGAACAGGTCAGGGCATTTAAGACATTGAAAGATGCTTTGTCTTCCCCTCCGGTGCTGGCCATGTATGATCCAAACAAAGTGACAAAAGTGTCAGCAGATGCATCGCCATATGGCTTGGGTGCCATTCTTCTTCAAGAGTGGGGAGATAAATGGAGGCCTGTGGCTTACGTGTCGCGTTCACTCACTCCAACTGAACAACGCTATGCACAGGTGGAAAAAGAAGGCCTGGCTCTAACCTGGGCATGTGAAAGATTTTGGGATTTCCTCCTAGGAAAGCATTTCTTTCTGGAGACTGACCACAAACCACTTGTCAGTTTGTTTGGAGACCAAGCACTAGATCTTCTACCCTTGAGAATTCGGCGATTCAGGATGAGGCTCATGCGTTACTCTTACTACATTGTGCATGTGCCCAGAAAGTCACTTTGGACAGCAGACACATTGTCACATTCGCCTATGGACTCTCACATGTCCAAAGCAGAACGGAAGCTGATGGAAAGCACTAACATATATGTGGACTGTGTAGTAGACACCTTGCCTGTTAGCCACACATATATGGAACTCATAAAAGAACAGTTGCAAGCTGATAGTATTTGCTCTCGAGTCATGAAATTGTGTGCAGATGGATGGCCAGTGCATGCAAAACAGGAACCTGCACTGAGAGGATACTGGCCAGAACGAGCTACACTCACTGTACAAGATGGATTACTACTGAAAGACACTAGGCTTGTGATTCCATCCACTCTGAGGAATGAGGTGTTGGAGAGGCTGCATGAAGGACACCAAGGGGTAGTGAAATGCAAAGAACGTGCTCGTCAGTCTGTGTGGTGGCCAGGACTCAGTCAGCAGGTCAGTGAAATGGTGCTCAAATGCAGGACATTATTCAAGAGCGTCAGAATCCTAAAGAGCCACTCATGACATCTGAATGCCCTGAAAGACCATTGCAAAAGTTAGGGACTGACATGTTTGTACTTGGAAGGAAAACATACTTAGTTGTGACAGACTATTTCTCCAGATATGTCGAGATTGCACTGCTATCAAACACTAAGTCAACTGATGTCATTGTCCATCTGAAGTCAATCTTTGCCAGGCATGGAATTCCAGAGGAGTTGATGTCAGACAATGGACCACAGTTTTCTAGCCAAGATTTCTCTCATTTTGCATCCACATATGGGTTCAAACATGTTACCAGCAGTCCAAAGTTTCCACAAAGTAACGGAGAAGCTGATAGTGCAATTCAGACAGTGAAAAGTCTCTTGAAAAAGGCTAGCGACCTTTATCTGGCCCTGCTTGCCTACAGAGCTACCCCTCTCCAGAGTGGGTTCAGTCTGGCTCAGCTGCTTATGGGGCGACGTCTTCGTACCACTGTGCCGACTGTTCCCTCTCAGCTAGACCCAGCATTGCCAGATGTTGACCATTTTGCTCGTAAAGAGAGAAAGAAGAGGAAATTGAATACTGAATACTACAACAGGAGACATCGTGCAAAACCTCTTAGTGATTTGCCACCAGGAGAGCATGTATGGGTCACTGATACAAAAGAATCTGGGACTGTGCTGCAGAATCATATGAGTCCAAGGTCATATCTGGTGGATGTACCTAAAGGTGTGGTGAGACGCAATCATCAGCACTTGATACCTTTACACATGCAAGTGAAGAAGGAACGGTGGAGCAGCAGGAGTTGCCAGAGACAAACAGTGAACAAGTTTCTACATCACCTGGGAAAATACTTAAAAACTTTCCTAGTGTGACAGCTACCCCAAGGACAAGGTCTGGGAGAGCTATAGTTAAACCAGAGAGACTGAATCTGTGAACTGAGAAAGTGAAAAAGAGTTAATGTTGGTGTGTAGTTCAGTAAGAAATCTGAGGTGCAGAATAGTTTAAACACAGTTAGGTGTATTCGATTAGTAAATAGCTATATGATACCATTTTCTTCCCTACAGGATTAGATAGGAACAGACCTTCAACAAAAGAGGCAGAATAATCCTCTAAGATCTGGTGAGACAAAGGTAGTCTGCCCTTCGTTCTCTAGAAAAGGGAGATGTGGTGTAGGGTAAATGGAACCTGTTGATGTTTAACTGTGAAGAGGAACCAATGTTAGACAGAGAGTAGTGAAGGACATATTTTGAGGTGACACAGTATGGAGGAACCGGAAGGGAGGAGTTAAGAAAAATAAAAGCAGTTTGTGTGCAGAGAACTCACATGTTAGGAGTATTATTACAAAATACGACACGGAGAGCAGCCCATAATTAGAATGTGTCAATCTGACACCAAAAATACACATCTTTCTCAGCTGAGCTTCTTTGATTCGTTTGTTTGGGTTTTTTAGGTTGATGTATTGTGTGGTGCTAACTGTAGATGTAAACATTTTTATGCAGGGGTTTACTGAGACCTGAAAAATATTTCAAGTGTTCCTCCAGGGTAAAAAGTAGTTGTGGAAA